CCACATCCTGAAGCAGGAGGGTGACGTGCAGGGCGCCATCAGCCTGCTGACGCCAGTGATCGCCGCCTTGCCCCCCCTGCCCCGCGACAGGCACACCGCCATCGACCTCAAGGAGTACAACCTCCCGGAGCACTTCCACGGCAACGAGGCGCTGGTCCTGCGCCTCAAGTGGGTGGCCGAGGAGGGTCTCCTCGACCCTCTCACCATTGTCAAGGGACACAACGAGGTCAGTCAGGTCACACACCACACACAGACAGGGCAGGGAGGGGCGAGGGGGATGGATGGTGTGCTGGAGGGATGCGTGTGTGATGTGTGTGCCTACACATCTACACAGGCGTTTGAGCGGTTGGGTTCGTCAGAGATGCTGCATTTTGAGTTCGCTCGTGCGTTGGACCGGCTGCTCACGGCCGTCATCAAGGACAAGATGCCCTGGAGGAGCACTGACCCTGACTCACCCAAGAAAATCGGAGCCTCACCCGGTCAGTCAGTACTCTAGACACACACACACACAGGAAGGTGTGTGTACCCATGGCTGGCATGGACGGCTGATGTGTCTGTCCGTCATTGGTTGCCTTGTCTTGTCAGGTCTGCGATTGGTGGAGGTGTTGAAGGAGTGCGTGACGCACTACATGCTGACCCTCAAGCACGGCCACAAGACCCTTCACCACTCACTCAACCGCCTGCTGCAGGTGGTCTTCCAGTCCGTCCCAGAGACCGACACAGACTCCTCACAACCCGACTCCGGTGGCTCACCCGGCCCATCACACACATCCAGCCGACATGCCGCAGCGGCCCCAAGATCGGGCGGCGGGGCTGCTGCGGCTGCTGCTGCTGCTGGTGGGTCTGGCAGGAGCTCAGGCAGCCGGTCGGGTAGTGGTCAGTACACCACCAGCGGTGCGAGCGGTGCTCGCCGTGAGATGGAGAGGAACAGTCTGCTGCTGGAGGGCAAGGCGTTTGAGTGGAGTAGGGAAGAGCGGAAGGCCATCCGGGATGGGCTGCGCAGGATACTCCTCGAGCGGTTCAGACAGATCGCCCCCTACAAGTGGATGCTCATTCTGCCGCAACTTATCAGTGAGTGAGCAGCCAGCCATGACACGCACACCAAGAGTAACCACACATGGCATGGCTCTCTGTCCGTGGTTTGGCTCCTCTGTGTTGTGTGTCACGCAGGTCGTGTGAGCCACCGTCATCTGGGTGACTTCGTCAAGGACCTGTTGGTGTACATGGCCCGCGCCCACCCGCACCAGGCCGCCTGGCACCTCCTGCCGCTCAAACGATCCAACCTCGACAAAAAGCGACAGGAAAAGGTCGCCGACGAAATCTGGGGCAAGGTACGTACGCCACGCCAAACACACTCGGCAGGTGAATGCACCCTGAGGTGGGCTGGGCTGGGCTGTGCTGGCGTGTGTGGCGTGCAGGTGGTCTATGGTCATCGCACTTGGCAAGATCGCGGCCGTCGAGAACTGGAAGGACTCTTCGATGAGTCAGTGAGACAGACACACACACATTCGGCAACAGTGAGCCATCCCGGCCGGCATGTGTGTCTGTCTGTGTGTGTGTGTGTGTGTTTAGGTATTACCACTTTTCTCACGAGATGGAGATCATCGCCAAGGACACCATGTCGCGCGTGCCCAACATCGACAGGAGAGATCACATCGACTCGAAGGACCCCTGGTACTGGGACTACCTCAAGAGGTTCAACAGCGGCCCGGACCCCAAACACGGCATCATCGTCCCCATCCTCTCACAGCTGTCCCCCCGCATGCCCGAGGCCGCCCCCGAGCCGTGGGACGGGCCACTCAACGACCGGCAGGCACAGATCCGCCCGCGCTTCCCCGATAACACCTTATGGGACTCCAACACTGACACACATACGGCGTATGAGGGACAGGTGGGTGTGGTACACACAGAAAGAAACAGATCAACCATGGCACGGCACGGCACGGCACACGACGATAGCAGTCAGCCAAAACCATGGGCCGGATTATTCTCCTTGGCTGTGGCTGTCTGTGATGTGATGCTGCCTGTGCTGTGTGCAGATCACGTTGTCTCGTTTCGGCAGTGTGGTCAAGATCATGCGGTCCAAGCAGCGTCCGAAGCGCATCACCATGGAGGCCAGCAACGGCCGGGAGTACCACTGGCTCGTCAAGCAGGAGGAGAAGGGCGACCTGCGCAAGGACAGCCGCATCATGGAAGTCGCACAGCTATGCAACTACCTCTTCAGCCACAAACGGGAAACCCAGGACATACAGGTAAGGTGCACACGACACGACACGACACAAACCACACACACACACACAAACACGAAACGAGCGACTGACTGCATCCGTATGCCACCCAGAAGATCCTCTGTGTGTATGGTGTGGCTGTGGCTGTGGCTGTGTGTGTGTTAACTGCAGCTGCGCACGTTTAGCGTGGTGACCTTGACCGAGGTGACGGGCATGATCGAGTGGGTGCCGTACACGACCACGATGCGGAACGTGCTGTTCGAGGCCTGGCGGGTGCTCTTCCAGGGCACCAAGACCCTCACCAGACTCAAACAAGACATGCTCGGCCTGGTCTGGCCACCGCACCCAGCCACCCACACACACACCCACACACCGACCAGACCAGGAGAGCAGCCACTAATGTCTGTCTGTGCTGGTTGGTGTGTGTTGTGTGTCATCTGTCATCCATCAGACTCAGCGGTACAACGACCAGAAGAACAACAAGGAGTTCAAAGACCGCTACAAGCTCTACGTCGAGCACGCCATCAAGCGATGGCCACCCGCACTCCACAAGTAACCAACCAACCTACCAACCAAGCAGCCGACATGCCCACCCACAGCCTACGTTCAGCCCGCCGTGTGTGTGTATGTGTTTAGGTGGTACATGCTTCACTACGGCAGTGACGCCATGTCGTGGGTGGCGGCCCGCCGGCAGTACGTCAGCTCCACTGCAGCATGGAGCATGGTCGGCTTTGTCGTCGGACTCGGGGACAGGTACACACACACACACACACACACACACACAGGGGGGGGGGGGGGGGGGGGGGG